GAATTGCGGTTATATATACAAGAAAATAATATACTAATAAATTAAGTATTATAGGAAAAAACTAAAATAATCTTAATTTCTTGCCCTGAAAATATGTTATTTGATTTTTTTTAATTAGAATTAATTAAAATGGCATTATAGAGTACTTTTTTTACATTTTTTCCTTTTTTTTTTTTTTGCAAATCAAGTTGAGAAGCATTTTTTTATTATTTTATATTATTTATTGAAGAGTATTAAATTATATATGATTCAAAAATAATAAGATATATCTAATTAATCTAAAATTTAACAAATATGACATAAGTGGTATATTAATACATAAAATTAATTAGTAATATAAAAATTTAGTTATTAATATAAAAATTGATATAAGTTATACTAATACTAACTGATCATGACTTATAAAAAATTTTAAAATTTCATCCCTTAATCCAAAATTTTAGCTCCGTCCCTAATTTATGAGCTAATTTAAACTATAATTTTCTCGTGTGTAGTAAGGCAATGATTAAAGTGATATGATGTTTATCTGATTCTCAAGTACAAGGCACTACGTCTGAATACATACCACATACAGATGGGGAAAAAGGAAAGTGAAAGAAGATTCTCTATTGTGACAAATGCAAGTTTAAGTTCAAGTAACATATATTTTTTTTAATATTAACATTTCAATATTTAATAATCACATTAAATTTTAATTAATTTAAAATTAAATCACATCGAACTTTATAAAAAAAAATTCTCTTAATACATATTTCTTCATTTACAAGATTTGAATTGAAAATTTTATTTAAAAAAAAATCAAATTCGTTTTACTTAAACCAACGTATTGTTGATAGTCTAAGGAACATATATACCATACAAGCAATATGATAAATCAAATCATGCATGATCTATCTTCAAAAGGTTGGAAATAAGCTGGCCGAGAAGTTGTTTCGGACAGACAGACGATCAAGCCGCATATCGGACTGCCACGTCAAGGCTGCACCGAGCGCCCACAAGTGAGAAAATGACCACCGCCACCACCGCCAGCTTAATTTACACTTGACAGCGTCAACAAGTACCAAACACAACTTTACTAGGGTGCACAGCCCCCTATAAAACTGCTTTGCCACTTTCCTCGTAAAGTCTCCTCTCTCTGTTTCCATTTCCACCTGGAACCCGCACCACAGCACACTTTTTTGGACACATACCGAATCAAAATGAATTGAATACTTTTGGTCCGTCAACTTTTAAATTTTACCCCAACCTTGTCCTTCTACTTTTTTTCCTCTCAACTTTCAATTTGTTACTAAAAATCTAAGGGTGCGTTTGGTACTATGGTTGAGAGTTTTTTTATGTAGTTTTATAATATTTTTAGATATATGTGTGTTTGGTAAATTTTTTTAGATTATTTTTTTACTAAAAACTAATTAAGAAAGTTATTACAGATTTATAATAATTATATATACAATAAAAAGTCTCATTTTAAAGGTTTCTGATTGTGATTTGTACATAAAACACTTAATATTTAATAAAATTAAAAAATTACCCCTTAAAACCTAATTTCATATAATTTAATTACATCATAATTTATAATATTGTAATAATGATAACAAATCTAAAACACCTAAATTATTAAAAAAATAATAAATATGATCGATTTTAATAATTATATATCTTACGATATTTTTAAAATTTTAATTAATAATTAATAAAATCTATCATATTTCATCTATAATATTTTTAAAAAATGAATAACTAAATATCAAAATAACTTTTAATCACAGTTTTAGTATAGTACAGTTCAGTACAATCACAGTTATAATATTTCATAACAATCCCAAATGCACTCTAAAATGGTCCTTCTATAAACCAATCTATGAATGAAGATTTGGTACCAAAATAATCCCTCAACTTTTTCAAACAGTTAATGGAAGGATTCTTATGGTATAAAATTAGAAGGTTGATGGATGAAAAAAGTGTTGAAAAAATTTTATAGACAAATTTAGTATAAAATCTAAAAGTTGAGGGACAAAAGGTCATTTTAACCATTAACTTTCTGAGGCTTGAATTACATCTCCCTAACTATTTTGGATAGAATTACATCTCCCTAACTATTTTGGATAGAACATTAGAATTCCTTCCCCCCCCCCCCCCCCTATAAATATGCAACCCCATCGCCATTTTTTTCTTAGGAGACACAAGCTTCAATTGTTCTTCCTCTACTTTCCTCTTCTCAAATTTCTCTTTTTTTCTTCGTCTGTTTTTCTCCTCTTTCTTAAAAAATGGATGGAAACTCAGGATGTTTTGGAAATTTCATCCAACGGTCCAAACCATACATAGCCATGATTTCCCTGCAATTTGGCTATGCCGGAATGAACATCATCACTAAGGTTTCCCTCAACAGAGGAATGAGCCATTATGTTCTGGTTGTCTACCGCCACGCCTTTGCCACTGCAGTTATTGCTCCTTTTGCTCTCATTCTGGAAAGGTTCGAATTCGAATGATTACGTACTTGGTGATGATAAAAAATTAAAGTATGTAATATAAATAAATTCTGATTTGTTTTGGTTGGTTTTGGCTTTCTCCAGGAAAGTTAGGCCAAAGATAACGTTCCCCATTTTCATGCAAATATTTGTTCTGGGTCTTCTTGGGTTAGAACTCTTTCTTTCTCCATTTATCGATTCTGAAATTGATGGAATTAAGCTGAATATTTTTGGCTTTTTATTTTTGCCCGGCAGGCCAGTGATTGATCAAAACTTCTACTACGCTGGACTCAAATTCACCTCGCCAACCTTTTCCTGTGCATTGAGTAACATGCTACCTGCCATGACATTTGTTATGGCAGTTCTTTGCAGGTATACTTCAAAAAAAAGGAAAAAAAAAATTTTAAGTTCTTAACTTTTGTAGTAAAGAAGCTGTTTTAGAAGTTAGACCAAAAAGAGACGGATATGTGGATATGCATAAACGTCGATTTTTTGGAGTAATTCATACTAAAAGAACAAAGTTGTGTTTTCTTTATTGGCATTTAAAGGATGGAAAAGGTGGACATGAAGAAAGTAAGATGCCAAGCAAAGATGGTGGGAACCATAGTGACAGTGGCCGGAGCCATGTTGATGACATTGTACAAGGGTCATGTTATAAATTTTTTCTGGTCCAGCCACATCCGAACCCATTCTGTTCCTGACACTGCCGCTACCGACAAGGACTGGCTTAAGGGTTCCATTCTCCTCATCTTTGCCACTCTTGCTTGGTCTTCATTCTTCATCCTTCAGGTATCAATATACAAATAAATCATTACTATAATTAGAATACGCTGTTTTTTGGTTCGAACTGATAAAAAAGAAAAAATAAAAGAAAAAAAAAACGAACATAATTTTTAGTTCGAATTGATAAATTTGTCACTAATTTGACTGAAAGATTGTTTTTGCCATAATTTTTTAATTGAATTTTTAATATTATTTTGTTGTTGTTACAGGCAGTGACACTTAAGAGATACTCAGCTCAGCTATCCCTTACATCTCTGGTTTGCTTCATGGGGACACTACAGTCTATTGTCGTCACCTTTGTGATGGAGCATAAATCCTCTGTTTGGACCATTGGCTGGGACATGAATCTTCTTGCTGCAGCCTATGCCGTTAGTTTCCCCCCTCTTTTTCTATAGTTACCAATTAATTAAAATAGCGATACCATTTTCACCTCATTTTCGTTCGGGACATGCACTTTTCAATCAAAAAGACCAAACAAAAACAATACACAAACAAGGGATTCTCAAATTTTCTAGGGGTCAAATGGAGTGCATGCTTCCTACCAAAATTAACCATAAGAGAAGGTTTCCCTTACTGAAATTTTGAAAAAAAAATTAACATGGGTGATTAAGATATGTAATTTTCGTGAACAGGGCATTGTATCATCAGGCATTGCATACTATGTCCAAGGATTGGTGATGCAGAAAAGAGGGCCTGTCTTTGTCACAGCTTTCAGCCCTCTGATGATGATCATTGTAGCAATCATGGGTTCTTTCATCCTAGCCGAAAAGATCTATCTTGGAGGGTAATTCCCATAAATTCATCATTTAAAAAAAAATAATTTAATTTGATTTTCATCTAAAGTCCTAAACTTTTTTGTTTTACATTGCTTTCAGTGTTCTTGGAGCTATACTGATTGTAATAGGGCTCTACTCTGTTCTGTGGGGAAAGTACAAGGAATACCAAGAAAAAGAAGCTGAAGCAATACTTCCAGAAGCCATAAAAAGCAATACTGCCACCGCCAGCGATGTCCAGAGTAATATGGCTGTGGCGGTTATCACTGTTCCGGTGCCACAGCCACCATTGATTGTCACACATGCTCCCAACGCTTAAGCAATTTTCTTCCTCTTGAAGAAGTGATCAGAAAAAGAGGGAAAATATTGGAGGAAGAAAAGGGCTGTTTTGTACTTTTAAACTCACTATTTTTCTTTTCTTTTCTTCTTTTTTTTTTTTGTGTGTGTTTCCATCAGCCTTTCTCTTTGTTAATCTTTCTTTTTAACC